GAGGAGGCACTAGGATTTAGATGATTTGGGAAAAGCTTCCTGTAGGAAGCCTGGAAGCAGAGAGGAGGAAATTGTTATAGCTAACATTTATATAGCACTTTTAAGATTTGTCAAGCATTTTACAAATAAAGTATAAAATATCTTATTTTATCCTTATAACAACCCTGAGGGATAGGTACTGTCATTATCTCCATTTTACAGATGAGGAAGCTGAGGCTCAGAGAAACTAAGTGACTTGCCCAGGGTCACACGGCTAGTAAGTGTCTGAGGCGGGTCTGACTGGATCTCCTGACTGCAGTCCAGTGCTCCATCTACTAGGTCATCTAGCTGTTTCATCTATGAAGTAAGGGAGCTGAACTCAGAGGTCCCTAAGGTCCCTTCAGCTCTGTGATCCTGTGATTCTGTCAACCTTACAAAGGGTGAATTGGAAAATAGACCAGATGGAGGTAGGAAGACTTGTTAGGAGGCAATTGTAGTGGTCCAGGTGGGCTGCTCAGATATACCACCTCCTTTATTTTTTGCCTTTTTTTCCTCACCTTTTCTCTCTTTCTGCCCCTTCTCTCCCTACATCAAACCCTTTTCTATGAATCTTAAGCTAATTTTGCTATATTTCATGGGCAAAGTGGAGAGTGGGCTACTGGGTATGATTTGAGAGGCCCTAGGAATGTTTCCCTATCACTCTCTACTATAAATCTCCCCTATCCCAGTTTGTTGCAGTGTTGAAAATACCTGTCTTAGAAATCTGTTCCTCTGAATCCTCTTTTCAAATGCAAATACAGAAAAAAAAAAATAGCGTGTTGTAGTAGAAAGAACACTGGATTATAGTCAAGAGACATGAGTTTGAATCCAGCTCTGCTACTTACTAGTTCTGTGACTATAGGAAAATTACTTAACCTCTCTGTGCCTTCTTTCTTCCAGCCCCAGAGTCAGTGTGAAATGGTCCCTAAGCTCCATCAATGTTGTCATCTCTTTAAAAGTCTGGAGCGGTGGGGATGCCCTTTCTGTTTCATGTAGCTTTGAGTTGTCTTCTCTGTCACTCAGCAGAGAAGCAAACGGGCCTGTCTCTAGGACCAACAGATTATCTACTCTATAAAGTGGGTCTTCACGTTTTCCTCCATGGGTGCACACAGGTGCTTTTTTTAATTACTTAAGGAAAAGTAATTGAAAAGCCACTCAATACAAATCCCTTAAGCCACGCATGATGGGGACACTGGGGAAAGCTTCAGGCCGGCCAGGAGTCTGAAACACGGGCACCATCTGTGTTCCAGCAACTCTTTGGCCAAATTACATTCCAGTGCTTTCTTTCCAGCGCTATTTTTCATTAAATGAATTGAGTTTGTTGGAAATCGCCTGGCCATAAATATTCCCTCCTGCTCAGTACAGTCAGGTTATTACTGCTCCCCAAGTCAGTGCTTCAGAACAGAGCAGAAGGCAACTAGCACTCTTTGTGAAATGAAAAACAGAAATAAAAAGTGCTGGGCTGGAGGAACTGGGGCAGCAGGGAATTCAGCAGAGAATATTTCCCCCTCTCAAGCACTTCAGATTCATGGCAAGAAATTTTAAATGTTGTTAGATAATGAATGAATGCATTTGGAAGGGGACTGTCAGAGGCAATATAATATCATTGAGTCTTTTTAAAATTAAGATTGTCTTTCTCTGAATTTCTGTGGAGAAAGTGACAGTGACACTATGGTGGTTGGAACAGGAATCACGTGTACTTAAAATTGTGGAAGAGATTTCAACCTACAGTCCTAGAAGCTGTTCTGAGTCTTTTTGCTTGATGGAAAAAGAGATAAGACACTGTATAGATGATATCTCACAGTTATCTTTAGGGCTTATAAAGCATTTTTTTTTCCCATAACACCCTGTGACTTAGGTAATATAAGTGCTTTTAATCTCCATTATAAATATGAAAAAACTGTTTATGTGACTTGTCTGTGATCACACAGCTAGTTAAGTCTCAAAGCAAGGATTCAAATCCACTTCTTCTGCCACACAGCCTAGTATTTATTCCACTACATCCCACTGCCTCTTTCAGATTTAGAAAAGGTTTAGGAAATCATAAAACTTTAGAATTAATTTTATATGACCTTATAAGTCATTCACTTTAACTCTTCTAGTCTCTCCCTCACTGGTGGAGGGAACTAGCTTCTGCTTGAATACTTGTGAGCTGTTACGCTTTCCAGTTAGACCAGCTTTCCACTTGTAACTCAGGCATTAGAGTGGAAGAAGTCCCTTCTGTACCCATCATACTAAGGAGGTATGATCATACTTACCTCCCTGGATACTCTCCTGATTTCTTCTCTCAGAGATCATTTTTCTGAGATTCATGACCTTTCCTCCTTTGCATTTCTCCTGTTCTCTGGTAAGAAGAGTAAGGAACAACAGATGAACAGTCTGAGTGCTACACTGGTACGGAACGGCTGTCATCTAGTCCAACTCCCACATCTTTTCAGATGAGGAAATAAAGGGGTCAAAAAACTTTATCAAGTCCCAGAGCTGTAGAGTGAGGGAATCAGGACAAAACACGGGTTTTCTGACCATATCATTACTGCCCTGTTGAGAAGCTTTCAGGGGCTCCCTGTTTATACGAATTCACCGTAGTACATAAAGTCCTCTGGGACTGCCTTTCATAGTATTCCCATTCCCCCACCCCAGCCACTGTGGACTGCCATTATCTCCTCTCTACCCCTGCCCTTGCCTTGCCCAAGCTCCACATTCTATTTCTTGCCTTTGTACCTTTGCATGAACCACCTCTTCCCATTCCCACTTTGCCCTGTGTCTGGAATTCCCTCCCTCCTCACCTCTGCTTCTTAGAGTCTTGAATATCCTTCCAACAAACTTAACTGAAGTGCTACTTCCTTAGGTGAAGTAGCATATGTTACATTGCCCCCCCCCCAAATTGTTAGTGGTCTTCCTTTCCCTCCTAAAGTTACTTTGTTATTATATTAATCTGTATATATGTTAAATCTCTCTCATCTCTATTCCCAAGTAGAATATAAACTTCTTGAGGGCAGGGAATGTTTCCTTTTGTCATTTTGTTCTTTACATAGAGTTCCTTGCACATTATCAGGCACTTAATAAATACTTACTTATTTGACTGTAGGGGGTGAATAAAGAAGAGATTTTTCTAGGGCTTCCCACATTTTACTTAGTATGTGACTATGTACTGTACTTATACATAGAATCTAGGCATTGGAAGTTACTTCAGATCTTATAATCCATTCTTTACTTAAGAAGGAATTACCTCTACAATATCTCCAATAAGTGATCCTATAGCCTCCCCTTAAAAATCTCTAGTGATGAGGAACTCATTCAGGTAACATGATATGCCCAGCTACCTTCTTCCTGATGGAATGTTTGTTGCATCACAGAGGTTTGTCCTTGTCCTGGACACAGTGTAGTTATCCTTTCCCTTCATCTTGTAGACTGTCATTGTGGTAAAATTAAAAGGACGAGATAATTGGAGTAAGGAGGCTTTGAACACTGACTTGTATCACTCAGATTTCTGAACCTGGTCAAATTTCTTCAGCTTTTAACCTCGGTTTCCCCATCTGCAAAGTAGGCTTTAGTAATACTTATAATACCTAAGTCACAATTTGGTTGTGAGGAAAGCAGTATAAAATTATAAATTGCAATTGTAATCTTCAATCCTTCTTTCCAGGTCCTGTGCCACCACCATCTCCTCCCTCCCGACCCCCATCCCCAATTTCTTTTTCTCTTGCAAAACGAATATTTTGAAGGAAAAGCAATTCCCACAATACATTTAGGTTTGTTTTGGGGAGACAAGTGAACTTCTTGTTTTGGATTTCAGAACTGTCTAGTAGTTGTTTCTACAACTCTTTTGGAGAGTGAAATCCGTTTCTTTGATGATTTAATGAAGGGGGCAGGAGGAGACTTTGTCCATATCTCTGAAATCTCATTGTGGATATCCATTGCACTGCGCAGCTCAACAACTCTTTACAACTTAGAGTTACTTGCTTGGAGTCTTGAGAGGTTGAGAGACTTCGTCCTAGCCATATGGCTAGTAGTGTATGGGTCAGAGACAGGGCTTGAACCTAGGTTCACCCTCTATCCATTCACACTATCCATTGCATGTTCATTTTAAGTGCTGATACTGTTTCTTAAACTTCACGGCTGGTTTTTTTTTAAATGGGTGAGAATAATGCCTATCAAATTCTTAAACATTAATCCCCAAGCCACTTTGTTAACAATTAGTAGTTTTCCTGTTGCTTTTCTTAAAACGTTTGCCAGCTTCATTCCATGTAGATAGAACTTCTTGGATGCAGGTGTTCATCTCACTAGCACTGGCTGACCATGACAAGTTTTGGCTTCAGCTCCTAGTAAAAAGTAGCATCTTCAGTTTCTATGTCAAGTTCAGTTGTTAAAAGGATGGCACCATTTAGAGTTTTCTTTTCCTTCCATCATCTTAGTCCTTGCTTCCTTTTATGTAAGAGTACTCCAGTTCCAATCAACAGTCATTTTTTAAGAACTTACTATACTATGCCACTCTTTGGGGGCATAGAAATGAAAAAAACAATACAATCTCTGCCTTCAGTCTACTAGGGAGGTTATAGCATGAACCTAAATATAATATGAAGTTGATTATGGTAGTGATAAAGGAAAAACTCAGACAAGGTGCTTTAGGAAAATTTTAACCTCAGCACTATGAGGTAGTTCAAATATTATCCCAACTTAGAAGTGAGGAAACTGATATTTAAAGAATTAAGTGCCTTGCCTTAGGCTACAGAGCTAACAGGTATGAGATTGTCAGAGTAAGAAAAGACCTTACATTCAGTCCAATCTTCTCGTTTTATTGAGGAAGAAATAGGCCCAGGAGGAGACATGAAGGGGCTTGCTCAAGGCTTCACAATGGAGTGGTTGCAGAGCCAGAGATCAGATGATGAAAAAGTGGGAACAGAATCTTTGCAAGGCAAGGGGGTTACAAAAACAGGATGAAATCTAAATGTGTGATTTTTTTTTTTTTTTTTTTTGGGCAGTGCACCTGCCGAAAGGACATGGTGAAAATTTCAATGGATGTTTTTGTGAGAGTGCTACAGCCAGAGCGCTATGAACTGTGGAAACAAGGAAAAGATATTACTGCTTTGGACCACATGAAACCCACTGCACTAACTAGTCCTGAACTGATGGCTTGGAATGAGACCAAGGCTGTGCTGAAAGCTAAGCTCCTTCGGAGGTAAGATTTGTCATGAATAGGATTGTTCAGAGGATCAGTTTCAGTCACTATTGCACTCCTGGCATTCTGAAAGCAAGATGGGGTGTAATGGCTGTCATCATTGGGAAAAAGAGAGAGATTCCTAGTTCCCATTCGCAAACAGCCGGCAGAGGTATGGACATTTTCAAACTGTCTCAAACCCTTTCCTTCTCTACTTTCAACTTTGTCTCTATATTGCTGGATGAAGGTATCTCTGGTGAATGTGTTTTAAAAGAATACTACTATATTCCTATAATTGATGTGCCCCAAGGCAGGAAGGCAGAGCCTTACAGATGCTGCCTCTTTCGCTAACACAAGAAAAATCTATGCTGGTAAGCACTCTGGCCTATTTTAAATAGTGCCATCAAAGGAAGAGTACAGTCCTTTTTTGTGCATCAGTACTTTTCTTCCTTTCCTTTCACCACCTCTGTTCAGCTAGAAATCTGCCTGCTATCCCCTAAATTTATGCTCTTCTGGATTTTCTTTTTTCTCTGACATCACAAGTTTGTGTCACCTATTTCTAAAAGAAAAGTACCTATTGCAGAGACAGACCTATTGCAAGAATACCCTGTTTCTCTTTCACAGAGAAGATTTTCAAAATCTGCTTGGCTTGGGGGAGATGGCAGGCTTCTCCTCCAGTAAGTTAGCTGGACTTTAGCAATATTTTAAGGGATGTATCTAGTAGGCATCTTGCCTTAGTTTTTTCTGAACACTTGGAAAAAAAAAAAAGACTCACAAAATTTATGATACCACAGTGTGATTTCTAGAATTACTAAAAGACCTTGTTTTGAAAGAACTTTTTCAGAATTCCAAGTGGGTACAATTTAGAAGCTTCTCAGATTTACCTTTAAAAACTCCATGAGCACTCCAAGGTTTCCCTAAGTGTTTGTTGACTCGAATAGAAAGGTGCTTCAGGGGCTGTTTTGGAGGATGGCCGGAAGGATCCTTCAGGAAAATGAAGATTTAAACATCAATGTTTTGTCTAGGTTTGGAAATTATCTTTGTACCAAGCATTAAAGGATACTTCAAAATTGTGTAGCAAGCAATTTCCAAACATCCTTGCTCTTTTTCATAAACATACATTTTTAGCTCTCTGATTCTTTCCAGAATGCCTGTGTTTGACCCCTTTAGTGTTATCTGGGTCTTTCAGGGGTACCTCTTTGCCATCAGATGCAACAATAGAATTCTCCTGTAGGGCCCAGCAAATACTACCTATGCCTTTTTTGAATCTGAACTCAGTGCTTAATTGACCCTTGATTAGGCTTTGTATTGAGGAGGGGTGGGGGTGTTTAATGAAGGAACATATCCCTTCATCAAACTGCTTAGATGGTTTGAAACTTGTCTCTCATCCTGGCCTTCAAAGGGAATTTGAGCTGGTGAACAATAGAAATGCTTTTCACACTTACCCAGAGTTACATAGGGTACTAAGTTTTGAGAGTTTGGAGGCAAGAAAGTTCTTATTGACCTAGCCAGGTGCAAAGAGTTGCTCACTTACGGAGAAAAAAATTTCACTTCAATGTTCAGAATATACTTCTTTTTTCCAACTGTTATTTTTTTAAAGGACTTTATTAAACTTGCATAGTTCCACTCACACCTTAGACCTAGCACTGTAACCCTATTTTATAAACTGCCTACTGCCACTTTTATGTATTTGGGGCATTTCAGCTTCATCACAGAATCATTTATTCAAGTTCTCTGGTCCTTTTCTTTGAAAACAGGTAATACTAGATTAGTGACCTGATGACATATGCTCCCATCACTAGGAATAAAGTTAGTCTTTTTCTTTTGTGCTATCTTTTATTGTCTTTACTACTGATTTACTATTGTTTCTCTATGTTATAAGAAAGTTTTGGTTGGGGCTTTCTTTTTTTCCCCAACTTTCTCTTTTGTCACTTATGTCTTAAAGGTGAAATGTATATACAGACATAGCCCTAGTTAGGCAAGATGTTGAGGTGGTATTTGCATAATAGTTGAATTGACTGTGGTCCAAACTAATTGGTCAACAGAGCAGATTGCCAATACACAGGAATCACGCTTCCAAAACAGTGATCATCATAGAAGGTTTTATAAATGGCCTGCCAATAGGACAACCAGAATCAGGCTGGAATGAGAACTAGTTCTGTTAGTCATGCTCAGTACCAGAAGGAAGGAAAAAACAACAACAACAACAACTTTTTCAAGAGGAAAACAGAATTACCAGTGATTTGGATGTTCCATATGCATCTAGAGATGTGTTCTATGCACATATGTCTCTTCCTTCCCCTCCCCTATCTCCTCACTCGTTTGTGCCTCCTTCTTTTGACATACATGAGGTTACATGTGCTTTAAGGGAAAAGAAAGTATCAAGTAAGCTAGTGCTTTCATTCTGGCATTTATTGCTTTTCCCTCTCTTCCCAGAAACCCTCCCATTTTTTTGTCCTCTGATGTATTCATATTCTGAAAGTGGGACTGAATACCAAATTTTAAATACTAAGGCTTTCATTTTCTTTAAAAACCTTGGTATGTAAAGTAACAGATTTTAAAAAAATAATTGAGATCCCTTTTTCTTTGGAAACCTTGATTAATGACTAATTTTTTAAAGCTGATGACCAGAACTGATCCAGCTCATTCCTATAACTGAAACATGGTTTACTTGGGTAAGGAAGAAATACAGCTTTATTCTGCAGCACTCTCCTCTCTCTGCCCCTCCTACCCTCCAGAGTGTCTTATCTGCAGTGTATAGATATGCAGATATCCTTTTCCTACCTGCCTTTGGCTTACTCAGTCATAGAGATAGATACACAAAGCTTAAAGAAAGGCAGGTGAACACTTAGCAAATATATTACTGGTTAAAGTGGAATTGAAGCAGTCTGTTGCTCTTTATCCTTCCCTCCTCCTGTTCCCCCCCCACCTTCCTTCTCTCTCTCTTTTTCTCTCTCACACTCTCCCCACTCCTTCCTCCCTTCCTACCCCTTTCCTTTCTCTTTCTCCCCTCCCCATTAACATTTTTTCCTTTTTAAAAATAAAATACTTGCAGGTAGTCCCCCCGTAAGAGGAACGTCACAGTTACTTCTCCAGAAATATCTTTTTAAGGCTTTTTCCTCCTTTCCTTCATTCTCTCCTGCTCCCAGATATACTATTCTGAAGGGGACCCTATTACATTGGGATGTATGGTTGCTATGAATAGGCCATTTAGTCATATTCTCCATATGTTGAATCTGATGACATTTTGTGGGTTCCCTTGCTAGTGGAAGTTGGCCATGTTACTCTGGTTCTTACTTCATAGACTGAATTTCTGAAGCTTTTTTCCTTCTTTGAGAATCACAAAATCATAAAATCTCTGAACAGGAAGAAACCTTAAGAAGCTAATCTGGTTTAACCAATTCCTGACTAAGAATCCCCTCAATAGCAAGTGGTCACCCGGACTTCCAGAAAGGGAGAGCCCACTAAATTGCAAGACAGCCGACCCATTATATGATCTACTATGTAGAATTCATTCATTCAGTATACATTTATGCTAAGTGCTGGGGGTGCAAATAAGAAAAAGAAAGATAGTCCTTGCCCTCAAGGAGCTTACAGTCTAATGGGGAACAACACACAAAAAGAAGCTGAAAGTGGGGCAGCTAGGGAGTACTGGGCATGAGAGCATGATGTTTGTGTTGTGGAAGCCAAGGGGAGCCACTGATGGAAAATGAAGTTACCTGGTAAGCTCTGAGCCTTCTTTAAAGGAAGGCTTTGGGAGCACTCAAATCAGAAGGACAATGCAACTGAGGGGGCTGAGAAGGTGCTCAAGAGAATGCTGCTGGGTTTTTTTGTTAGGCTGCTTCCTGCTTTCTTTACCAAGTGTTCTTTTAAATTACGGTCAGTTTCTAGGTTTAATGAGATAGTGGGTTTGCTCATCATTGAAGGTCTGTAAACAGGCTGGATGACCACTTTCTGGGGGTACTTTAGAAGGGATTCTTGGGTCAGGTATAGGTTGAATTTGGTGGCCTCTTAAGTCCCTTTCAATTTTTAGATACTGTAATCCTCTGTAATGAGATATATTAGATCATAGAACCATGTAGTCACATGATTAGGTTCATGTAGTCTACCCCCTCATTTTACATATGGCAAGAACCAGAGAGTGATTTGCCCAAGTTCACATGAGAACTAAGTAGCAAAGCTGGGATTTGCACCCAGGTCCTCTGATTTCAAATTGTGGCCTCTTTCTATTATGTCTACTAGGCCTTCTACAGGAAAGGCTCACATATGCAGCAGAAGGAGTGGACAATGAAGAGTCTGGAAGTATTATCTAGACAGTTTTGGTCCCATAGGAGCATAGATTAAATATTGGAAGGGACCTTAGAGGTCATTGAGGCCAATCTTCTCATTTTATAGATATGGAAACTTAGGCCCAGAGAGCTTAATTACTTACAGGGTCACTCTGCTAGTAAATGTGTGGAGGATACAAACCCAGGTTCTCCTGATTCAAAGTCCAGCATGCTACCTACACCACACTGCCCCCATCTTGCCCCCGTAGTTTAAAAACAAACAAATAAAAGTCCTCCACAGGCTATCTAATGAGCTTTTCTCTTGCTTCTTTTTAAGGAGAGTATTGAAAAACCTATGTACTGTTCATTACAGCAGGTGTGCTTTGCTGGCTCCCCAGATACCTGCGTGTATATATGTGTGTCTCTTTCCTCTTTAACAAAATTAGCTGGGCATCTTACAGAATATTTGGCTTGTCGCTAGTGCTTCACATTTCCCAGGATCTCATATGTGAAGCACAAAGTGGGACTACTAAGTAACAGAATTAAAATGTTTTTCTTTTTGAAGAGAGACTCTGTTTTTAGGAACTTGAGCAGTGAGAAAAGCTGATCCTTGTGAGTTCAGCTGAATGTTCCTGCTAATGAATATCTTGCAGGTGTGAAGTTAAAATCTATACTTAGAGGGTGACCATATGGTTGGAGTCTAGCCATTTTAAGTGACTGTATGTGTAGATTCATTTTTCCTCTATTAATCATTATTTTGGTGTAGTATCCCTCTCTGTTCTTCATTCAGTTTGTTGCCTCATTAAGGGCTTTGCTACTTTCTTTAACTCTTCTCCAGTTCTAATTAGCAGCCTGATTTCTGGACAGGCTGTGGGAATGGGGGTAGCTGGATCTCAGTTCCATCTTAGGCTTAGGTGGTAGGTAGTTGTTGGAAGAATTCACTCTACTTTATCTTTCAGTAGCAGATGTAATGGTGCAGAATGGAGAAAGCATATGGAAGCTGCCACTATCTCCAAGTTTTCTTTTTACTAAAATTGGTGACATTTACAGCTCTTTAGAACAGACTTTACTCCTAACTAATGAAGCATTTTTAATTTCACTTAACCCTTCTCTGCCCTCCTCAAAAAAAAAAAAGAATAGAGGTGACAGATAGCAGCAGGAGTAGAAAGGGTATGTATCTGCCTTATTATCACCCCAGTGAATGTCCACTGATTCGTCCACATGTTACCCTCCCTTGGTGTGAGAGGTGTATTGTCCTCAAGAGAAGAGTCTTGAGGATTAAGGATATGTATAAATATTCTACGTTTATTTCTTTTTAATTTGTTTGGTCAATATTCACCTCAAATGGTAATATACTACCTCCTTAATTAATAGACCTTGTGGCCAAATTTGCAACAAAAAGATCTGAGGATTTTCTCTCTTCTCCTTATCTTCCCATTTGTACTTTTAGCAAAAGCTTACATTTCACAGTATCTCTCGTTTCTCCACGGACCATTTGTTGGGGACATTATAGAAAGAGATTTCTTATACTTTTGGACAGAATGACCTATAGAGTCCTTTCTAGCTCATAAGATTTGGGGCATTCTGTGATTCTGTACTTTTGGGATTCTTTATCTTCTCTGGCCTGGCTGGAAATGTCTGTTTGGGGATTAATGAACCTATTTCTAGAGGTTCTTTTTCATCTAAAGGCAGTCTTCTCCACAGAGGAAGTACTCTCTAGTCTTTCCTCTTCCCTTGAGTTGAAATTGGATGAAACTGTCCGCTTCTTATCTGCCTACTCTTGGCTTCTTCTTTTTAGCCTACCTTCTTAAAATAAGCTGTTCTCTTTAGTCCTTTTGTTGCTTTCTCCAAGCTCCTCTTGGTCACGTGGAGTGAATTTGTAAGCTTGCCCATTTCTCTTTCCTTCGATGTATTAAAATGGTCTGCACAGCCATAACATTTTCCCATAGACATTTTACTCTGATATAACATGAAGCACTCTTTGTTTAGGAATCTTCTTCTGGCTCTCCCTTGCCCTGCCTTGCCAAGTTCCTGGGAATTGGGAAGGAAAGAAGCTAGTCTTTCCTAAAGTACACTTAAGGTAGAAAGGGGGAGCTCAGAGTGAAGTAGTAAAAATGGGTACTTGGATGTAACATATTCACAATATTCATGTATGGGGGGAAAGTAAGGGAGGGGAGTTAAAAAGCTAGATAGGGAAGTATAATTAGATAATGTCTTAAAGAGATGAAGAAAAATCTTAGAGGAAAAAAACCCTGAAAATTTACATTCTAGACAAATTAGTCTGAAGGAAAACAGACACTGGAAAAAGACTGAGGAGGAGAGAAAACCAAATATAGAAAGGAAGAGAGAGCAGAACAGAAAGCCTGGCCTATCGTAAGTCAATTCTTTTTACTCTCTTCCAGGAAGTGTGTTTGACATTTTCATCTGGAATTCAAACTCCATTCAAAGCATCCCTTGTCTCCTTTATACCTAAATATAAGTACCACTCCTTTGACTTAGAGTGTCAAAGAACCTTTTTCAGAAGTCCATTGGGTGTCAGGCTTGGCTTCCCACTTGCAGATGTCATCAGCATCCTCTGCTTGGCATCAGCACTGCACCCATGTTTGACCATTCCCCTTACCCTTCCCTCTCTTTCAGCCCATTCTTCCTTTATCACCCGAACCCTTTTCCTTACCTCTCCTCCCCAGAGAACGTGTTCTCCCTATTCCTCCTGATGGAGCAGATATGATGACCCAAATGATGGAGGTTCTCTCAAAAAAGGGAGGGAGAAGGAGGGGGGTTTTGTTGATCTTATGTTCTTTAACCAAGAATGTCAGATTACTTTCACAAATCTACCATCCTAGGTCCCACAGAAAAAGAAGCCAGCCTAGGCGGCATAAGACAGAGGACCAGAAGTCTTTGGGAGAAGTTATGGCTGCAGAAACCCTTTTGGAGGAGGGCAAAGTGAAGGAAGAGCCCAAACATGGGCCTGACCTAGAGGAAGAAGGGCAGCACAAAGCCCCCGAAGGTGCCGAAGGTGAGTCCCAGGCCACTTGTCAGTGGCTCTTCTCTCAAGCCCAGAATTGCTCATCATCAAGGGCTTGGCTACCACATCATATTTGGTGGTTTATTTGTTTTTTGTGGGGAGGGTGGCAGAAGGAGATGATCTGTAATAACTCATTAAGCCTTCCATCAAAGCAGGCAAGGCATTCAACTGCAGAGATGCAATCACACATCCTTGAAGTATTGAAATAAGCATATTGTTTATTCCACCAAAAGATCAGTGGAGTTAGTACTTACATCCACAGCAGCCGTAGGTTTTTTCCCTCTTTCTTTAAGAATTCAGTTCAAATAGCTTTTTTGGCAGGGTTGGAAGTTTTTTGCCAGAGCTATTACAGTTTTGTAAAAATGTATATTGCAGGAGGTATGTTTTTTAAAAAAATATTTCACAAAGAAATGAATCAATATATTTTATCTGTCCCATTCTAACCAGGATGGCAGCTGTTCATAGCTGACAGAAAAATGGAGTGTGTCTGCCTTCAGTAGACTAACTTCTGTTAACTTCTCTGCTGCAGGGCACACCCTCTCTCCCCTCTTTCCTGCCAGTAAGTGAATAAATAAATGCCCGAGTAGGTAGAGAAGGTCAAACTGCATTTCTCTTCTAGCCCTTGAACAAGATAAAGAAATATAACGAGACAGTTTACATGCTGGGTCCTTGTTTTACAGTTGGCATTCAGGAAGCCTGTGACCAGGGCAGTCTGGAGGAAACACTTTTACATACGTTCTAAAGTCCCTGCTCTGTCTTATAGCACAGTGAGTCCTTTGGAAGATACTCTTCTTATGCAAAGAAAATGTGAGGAAAGCAATGGGATTCTTTCTCTTTCCATTATTTGCAAATGAATATACATTTAGTGCATTATGATAAATACCCTGGTTTAGCCATAAATTTAGAAGTCGCTGTAACAAAGGGCCCCAAATGCTTATGTTTCTTCTGTACAAGAGGTGTGGAGTAAAATTAGATGATTTTTGAAAATGTGACCTTTTCATTGTTGAATAAGGACAATTCAGCTTTGTCATTGCTGAGAATATTATATCATTTAAAAAGCTTACTCATAAGGGTTTCAGGGTTGAGGTGGCTCAATGGATACAGCACCAGCCCTGGATTCAGGAGGTCCTGAGTTCAAATCCGGCCTGACACATAACACGCACAAACTGTGTGACCCCGGGCAAGTCATTTAACCACATTGCCTAGCCAAAAAAAACCCCAAAAAACAACAACCTTGCTTACACAGGCTTTGTGTCTCCAGAACCATAGAATCACAGGATTTAAAAACTGGTCTGTTGTCGTTTGGTTGTTTTCAGTCACGTCCGACTCTTTAGGACCCCGTTTCGGGTTTTCTTGACCACGATTCTGAAGTGGTTTGCCATGTCCTTCTCCAGCTCATTTTACAGATGAGGAAACTGAGGCAAACAAGGTTAAGTGACTTGTCCAGGGGCACACAGGTAATAAGTAGATTTGAACCCAGGTCTTCCTGACTCCAGACCTGACATTCTATCCACTGTACCAGCTAGTTACCCCTAAAAACTAGAAGGGGCCTTAGAATATAGATTTTGAAATGAGCCTTATAACATTAGAGCATTAGAATATCCAAGCTGAAGGGGACCTTAGAACATGGGATTTCTATTAGATGATCCCTGATGTCTTGTTCAGTTCTTTTTCTTTTTTTTGATAAATTTTTATTAATGTCTTGGTTTTGCTTTTATCTTAATTTTCTCCTTTATCCTCCTTCCTATCTCTCAGAGAGTCAGCTCATGTAATAGAGAACTAAAAAAAAAAAAAAATAAAAGAAAGAAAAGGAGAGGAAAAAAAAGCAGAACTGATCAATACATCAAAGTCTGCTTATATCCAATGTTCTGCATCCGTGGCCCAAGGAGCAGAGGGAGCTGTGCTCTCCTAGCTCTCTTCTTTGGGAAGAACCTTATTCAGCATTCACTTTCAGTTGTTTTGTGGTGGTTCTTCCCAATGCCATAAACATTGTTCCTCTGCTCACTAAGTTCCACACCAGTCCCTCCCTGCAAGTCTTTCTGCACTTTCTATATTCCTCATATTTGATCGTTTTTTACAGTGCAATAACATTCTGTTACACTCCTGCACCACAGTTTCTGGATACGATGTCATAATTAGAAGGCATCTTATAATCAATCTGTAAGCATGTGTTAGGGGCCTGTTCTGTCCAGGGCACTGTGCTGGGTGCTAGCGATAGAAATACCAAAAAAAGGAGACGTTCCTTACTGTTAAGGAGCTTCCACTCTGTTGGGGGATATAGTGCATGCATATTTTATAGTTGAGTGTTTTACCCAGGATCACACAAGTGAGTGTCGGGGCCGGATTGGAATGCCGGTCTGCACAGTGGCGCCACCTAGCTTTAAGTTATGTACTTATGATTATTTCCTTTTTTACAGCTGAGGAAACAGGCTCAAGATGGTTAAATGACTTAGGTATTGTCACACCAGCTAATGAGTTGGGAACTTTGCATTTTGGTGTCTTCTGGGTATAGTACTTTTCACTGTGCCCTATAATAAAACGTCCAAGCTGAAAGGAACCTTGGGATAATGAATGTTAAAGCTAGAAGGAACTGTAGAAACCACCTAGTCCAATCCCCGTTTCACAAATAGGGAAACTGGTATTTCCTGGAAGAATCTATATTAGAATAAAGTCATTGGAGCTTTTGCGAGTTTTCCATCTTGGTGGAAATCTGCTGGCCATCCCAGTGTTCCGTGTTTCTTCATGGCCATCAGATAGAGATTGCCTCTGCCTCTTTACATATTAACAGAACTGTAGACCAGGTCCATAGATGTTCATATATCATAGAGGGCCTAAGCTGCCTTCTTCAGAGCCCTGAAAACTCTTTCCTTATAATAATAGTGGTAAGTTAAGAATACCTGATTGTCAGTGTTTGGGACAGTATAGCATTTAAAATCTCCATTGCCCCTTCTTCCTCTCCCTCCTTGATTTTGAATGAATAGAGGAAGAGAAGTCTTTTGTTAGCCACCATCTTCGAGAACAAAGGACAAATAGAAACCTTTGTGAGTGGAAAAGGAGCTGCCCACTGGGGGCCAAACGGAAATTGGCCAGTTCGGTAACAGAGCTAGCTTTCTTTCTTTCTTTCCTTTCTTCCTTCCTTCCTTCCTCTCTTCCTCCCTTCCTTCTTCCCTTCCCTTCCCTTCCCTTCCCTGTCGTACTCTGCCCAAAGGGAATGTAAATTTTAATCTCGGAAACTTTTTTTTCCTTTTCTGTTAAAGAGCAGCCTTAACCCCACATCACTCTGGCTCTCCAAATCATACTTGCTCATTGATTGGCCAATAATAGATCCCAAGGCCAAGCCCTTCTTGGTCATTGTTTGGGCCCTGATTGGCTCAGAATGGCAGTTGTTTCTGTTTTGGCCAGAAACCCTGAAGGCCTTCCATTCCCAGATCTTTTTTTTTTTTTTTTTTTTTAAGAAGCCATTCTTTGCCTCAGAATTTCTCATTAAGCCTCAATCACTGGATAGGCTTTGCCTCAGTCAAACTGAGATCTGTTAAAGACTTTAGCTTGAAAAGGCCAAGGCCTCCCACTGTGTCCTGGGACATCTCCAAGTCCTCTGATCTATATCTGGCCATTGGACCCAGATGGCTCTGGAGGAGAAAGTGAGGCTGGTAACTTTACAGAGCCTTCCCTCTCTTCAATCAATGTCAATCTAATATAGATTCTTCCAGTAATATCAATAAATATCAATCAATCAATGTCACTTGCATGTCATGCCATCACCTTCCTAATGTCCTTCAAGAATGAAAGACAAACAGCATCCACCACCATCTAAAACCACATGTCTCTGGACCATGATGGTACTACCTGTAGTTTTCTAAACCTCCTCTACTCTATTTTTTGGGGGGGGAGGTGGCTAGGCAATGGGGTTAAGTGACTTGTCCAGGGTCACACAGCTAGTAAGTGTTATGAGGCCAGATTTGAACTCAAGTACTCCAGACTCCAGGGCCGGTGCTCTATCCACTGTGCCACCTAGCTGCCCCTCTTCTACTCTTAAAGGCTTTGGCCAAGACCAGTCAGGCAGCCCTGAGGGAGAAACGAGATTATCCTTTGCTATCTAGTGGATGATGAGGGAGCTGGTGCCAGACTATAGATGGTTCCTAGATGGTTCCCAATTTATGAAGATGTTGTATTGCCAAGTTTTCTTTATAAGTCAGTTATTTGGAATTCAATGCATGTAGGGTATAGAGTTCTCTGATTGTTGTAGCTGTCTCTTCTCTGGCTTGAGTGCCCCTCTTAGACTGTAAGCCTTTTGGGGGAAAGGCTGGAATCTTATGTTAATAGAAATCTAGAGCTGGAAGGTACCTGAGAGGTATCCAATATCACATTCAGTTGTGTGCTTCCTAAGTGCTGTAGGCATTGTTTAAAAGGGCTTTCCATTTGTATTGAGTTAGAGGGTGAGGATGAAGAGAAGGGACCAAGCATTTATATAGCTCCTACTATGCGCCAAGCATTGTGCCAGGGGCTTTACAAACATGATCTCATTTGATTGTCACAACACCCCTGTGAGTCACATGATATTATCCCCATTTTACATTTGAGGAAACTGAGGAAGACAAAGCTTAAATGACTTGCTGGGGTCACACAGGTAAAAGTGTTTGAGGGCAGATTTGAACTTCCTGACCCTAGGCCCAGCCCTCTAGCTACTTCTTCACCTCCTTGCCCCTTGGTAGTTTCATGGAAAGAAAACTTTGCTTAAATTCAAAAGATTAGGGGCCAGACTCTGATGTTGGCTCTTATGGGACATGACTCTATGTAAATCCCTTCTCTATTTTCTGCCTCATCTTCCTTATTTGTAAAACAAGGTGCTACTTAGATATACAGGAAATATTGCCAAGAAAGCAGTCTATAAAGATTGTAGAAATATAAATGATGATAAAGAAGATATGGTGAAAATGTTTTTATAGCAAATAAATAGCTTTTAATCAACATTTGTGAAATCTCTATAGTGA